TCCAGATTGCTACAGGCCCCTGAGAGAGGGCTGTTAGAGCAAACATACAGTAGGTTTGTTGCTGGTTAGTGGAACTTGAGAGACTTGTGTTTGTATCTTGCTGACTGGTGAACTGCCCTACTACACTGCAAGCTGTGAGTTGGAAATTCAAGGGTAATTCTTGTTGAAGGAGGTAACATATCTAACGTGTGTTTAGGTACCAAGGTAATGATTAATTAAGAGCACTCTCTGATCTTTACTGTGTTATGTAGTGTTTTGTAGTAGCAACTAGAATTAGAAACAGGTAGCCTAGAAAATGCTATGAAGGTTTACAGTGCTCTCAACTCTTTGAGTGTATGGAGAAAGCAAACGAGTTCTGAGGAGGATGCATTTTTAGGTGAATTTTGCTCTAGGTAATGGCAGGAAAGGAAAACCCTCATGTTGGATGCAAAAAAAATTTTTCTGTGTACAATATGGGTTCAAACTTTGAATGTTCTTTTGGCATCTAAATCTTGTTTTCTCTGAGAGAAGCCTGGTGAGCCCCTGTGAGTAAGTGATCAGTGTTACTGCTGTGTCTTGCCTACTTGTCCGTCAGCAGTTCCACACAGATTCCAGTGAGAACATCCCTCACAGAAGAGAATTTTTTCCAAGTTTTTTGTTGTGCTCTTTGTAGACTTCTTTCAAGGTTCAAACAGGACTGTTTCCATGTTGAGACAACCTGAAGAGTATCTGGCAACAGGTTCCCTAATTTGGGGTAACTCCATAAATATTCCATAAACACGAGTGGATAGGATACACATAACGGAGCCTGGAGCTCTGCATCGGTAGACAGGTTTGATTGTCTCCTATCAGACTGCTCACAATTATTATACTTAGGGCCTATTAAATAAATGTTCCTGGCATAGAAAAGTCCCACTTTTTAGCGGGATTGGGAGGGATGTAACTTTTCCCCTTAAAACTTTAAGGTGATTTCTGACTCCCTGAGTAATTGCATTGCTGTTGGTTATGTTGTGCTTTGGAAGAATCTGACAGTTGCTTTGGAGAATTCCAGCTTTCTAAGGTGGAAATTAATAACCGCCTTGCTCTGCTCAAGAATGTGCTTTATTCAGATCTGTCAGTGCTTCTGGGTGTATTCTTTAAATGTTAAGACTTTTTTCCTTTGGCTTTTGGTGCTACTCTCTATGTAAGAATGCTGTGAGGATTTTAACAGACCTATTTCTGATTGCATTCCTGCCTTTTGGTAACTGTAATCTGCTGAAGGAATTGCTGAGTACTGTTAGCAGATGTGTTCTTTTAATAGGATTCATGTGAATTTTTTTTTTTCTCCCCTGCCCCTTGCCCAAGGTGGAAGAAAAAGAAGGATAAATTTGGTGTGGGGTTCAGGAGCTTATCCTCACGCTCCCCTGTCCCTGTAACAGACTAACATTTTGGTCACAGTGTAGTCTTTGTTATTACTGGAATACATAGCCTTGTGCTGTAGATTGTTGTGGTTGGTATTGTGTAACTGAATGGCAGAATGGAGCTAAATTCTGTCAGGTGCTGGACAGAAAGACTTTTTCTAGTGTAGTACTTTTCAAAAAAAACATTCAGGACAAAAAGGCCAGGGTGAACTTTTGTTTGTGTGGACATGTGAAAACGGAGGCAGTTTAGTCTGGAACTTATGACCCAGTTGGAACGCTGGGGTGGGGGGGAAGTTGGCAAGGCATGGCTTGAAGGCCTTGCTTTTTTGGCAGTGTCTTGGGTTTGTGTGGCATGGTTTTGGTAGCAGAGGAGTTATACGGGTGGCTTCTGTGAGAAGCTGCTGGAAGCTTCCCCCATCTCTGATGGAGCCAATGCCAGCCGGCTCCAAGATGGACCCACTGCCAGCCAAGGCTGTGCCCGTCAGTGACAGTGGTAGCACTTCTGGGATAACAGATTTCAGAAGATGAATAAAACTGCACAACAGCAGACAAAATAGTGAGAATATGTGAAGGAAAGAACTCTGCAGACAACAGGGTCAGTGGGAGGAGTAGGAGGAGGTGCTCCAGATGCTGGAACAGATTCCCCTCCAGCCTGTGGTGAATGAAGACTGTGGTGAGGCAGCTGTGTCCCTGGAGCCCATGGAAGTTCATGGTGGGGCAGAGATCCACCTGCAGCCCTTGGAGGACCCCGTGCTGGAGCAGGTGGATGCTCAGAGGAGGCTGTGACTCCATGGAAAGCCTTTGCTGGGTCAGGGTCCTGGAAGGAGCTGTGGCCCTGTGGAGAGAGGAGCCTGCGCTGTAGCAGGTTTGCTGGCAGGACTTGTGATCCTGCAGGGATCCCACACTGGAGCAGCCTGTTCCTGAAGGATTGCACCCCGTGGAAGGGTTCCATGCTGGGCAGTTTGTGAAGAACTGCAGCCTGTGGCAAAGGCACACGCTGGAGCAGTTCATGGAGGATTATTACCTGTAGGAGGGCCGTATCTGCCTTTTTACAGCCAAAGATTTAAGTGTTTGTTCTCTAGATTTTTGTTCTGCAATTTAGTTGCCATTAGCAAACTTCCCTTAAAATGAAATCTTGCTTTGACTAAACTTGCTAAGCCATACATGGAATAGTAATGATAGTTCATCTCGAAGCAAAATGTGGCTGCACACATTAGCAAGTGTCTGGCTCTGTATCTGTGCCAATATCTTCAGTCTGTCAGTGAGTGGGCAAATGGATGTCATCTCTGTTATCACACTTGGTAAGGAAAGGGAGCTCAGTGAATGGCATTGTCTCCAAAGTATATGATACTCAACGAGTTTCCTGGATTGCTTTTACTATTAGGCAAGGGCCAGGACTGTTCTCTTTTTGCATTTCAGAGGAATGAAAGAATAAAGTGCCAAACACTATTCCTTGCTTTGGGCAGTTCTTTGGCAATGTGAACAGACCGAAGCCTTAAATGCACTGCTGGTTTAATGAGTTAGTGTTCTGGGAGTCTGGATGCCAAGTAGTCCTTTGGTGGCTTTTTTTTTTTTTTTTTTTTTGCAACCTTGGCTCTAGAGTTGTTTACTATCCAGGTTAAATATGCTCAGTGCCAAAGATACGTGTACAGGTGCCTGATTTTTCTGTTATCAGTCAGATGCAAACTCAGTTGCTTTGCTTCAGAAATGAGCTTTTCAAACAGTTGTTCACTTTAAAGCTTTTAAAACTGTAAGCCCATAGATTATGTGACAATACAGGCAGTGGGTTATGTTTTTTAAAAAATACAGCTATATGGATACACAAATAACATCGTTTCATTCAGATTTAAAGGCTCTTTGATACATTTTTTTTCTTTGTATTTCGATTTTGATCTCCTGGTATATTTGAGAAACGTTTCTCTTTAAATGAGGGAAAAGGCCTGTAGAGGAAGTGGCTGTACCAAAAAAGGAATGTTAGTTGCTAAGTCCAGATGAAAAACTGAAATAGCTGGGCTTACAACTGGCAGTGAAATTACATTGGTAAACAGGATTATCCATATACCTACTAGTAAAATAAAGTAAACAACATCCTACTCGGCTGAAATATCTTTCCGTCTGTGGAAACTAGCTTTGGTTTTATCTGTGTGCTGATGTCAAGTGTGAAATAAACAGCCCTTTTAAAAATAACAACTCAAGCTTTTAAATTTGAAAAGCCATGGGGTAATTGGGCACATCCTTGAAGTGTGTTGTGCAGTTACTGTTGAAATACCAGAGGATGGGTGTGCTTCTAATGGGTAGAGTAGGTGTTGCTGACAGCTTTGAGATGTTAGAAGGTAGGGATGCAAACAGGAAAATGACTGGAGCACGGTGGGCTGTTAACTCTGTGTTTCTGTCCCGGTCAGCTGCAGGGAGCTCTCTTTTGCCAGTGCTCTGATCTGTCGTGTATAGATTGAGGGTAAAAGCCAATTTGCTGACCTTCAGCTACACTCACTGTTGACAAGTTGGCTTTTCTGCTGTAAAATTGCCTGGTAGCTTTAACTAAGGTTTGAGGACTTTCCCTTGAGAAGGAGGTAGTGGTGCCAGTTGGCAGCAGCATCCTGCCACACTTTCAAGGTCAGCCCTGGCTGGAAGGAGATAAAAACTTCACTGCTTCCTATTATTACTGGCTAAATGTGCTGATGTTTCGTTTCAATCCTATCTGCCCACTTGTAGCGTTCAAGTGGCAGTTTTTCCAACACTTTCATGTCGCAGCAGTGCTGAACAGTAATGATATGTGGTATCTGTTCCTTGGTTTTTAAGTGACTTCTGCAAGAATTCTTTAAAAGAAAAAGTGACTACTAAAACAGGGGCTTTTTGAGCTCCTGATTTGACCACTATTGAGTAACACCAAGATTTACTAGATGTGAAAAACCAGCTACATTTATTGTGCTTGTCTTGTGCTAGTGTTCTCATGTGACTTAAGGTCATCTTTAGCTTTATGACCATCTTACTGTTACTATAATAAGCTTTGTGCTTGAAGATCAGTTGTTTCTGAAGAAGTATTCTCCAAGTTCTGTTTTGTCCCAGTTCATTTTTATATGCTGGTTTTTTAAGGGTGACACATTCAGAGGATAAATTGCTGTTTAAACTTAAAAATACAACTTCTTTTTTTTTTTTTTTAATCGAAGCGATGCTACCTGACAGTCCAGTGAGTGGAAAAGTATAGATGAAAAATCTGTAAAAATGAGAGACAAATGGTTTCTCTTTCAAATGCTTCATCACAAGTGTGATAGCACTGCCAGTGTGGAAAGAGACTTTTGGTGTGGACAAACTGCAGGACTGGTTTTACTTGTAGCTGAACCAGAACAGGAACTGGTTTTACATTATCTATTATCGAAGGTCTTACAAAACAGTTTGTCTTGAGGGCATGCAGCCTTTTCTGTTCATGTTGTTCCAGTTTTGCTTATCGTGGAACTTCCTCCAAAGAACCTATAACACAGTGGGGTTTGTTTTTTTTTTTTTTTCCAAGCTAGATAACGGGATTTTTTAATCAAGTTGGCTGCATTACTCTAATGGTATATCGTCACTGTTTTGTCACCTACAGTATAACAGATCCTGAAAACTCTCTCTGTTTTCCAATAGGCTGGTGTTTGGGATGCTGTATCCTGCATATTACTCATACAAAGCTGTGAAGACAAAAAATGTGAAGGAATATGTAAGTCTCATTCCTTTTAACTGTTTAATCACATGCCTCTGCTGACATACATCTGTGATATTTTCATTATATAGTGCAATAAATCATTTGAAAGCTTGACTGATCTTAGTGTGTGATGCAACACCTGTGTGAACCTAGTGGCAATCCTGTGATTTTGTTTGGAGGGCTAAAGTTAAGGTGTCTCAGACTCTTCACAGTTTCACATGCTGAAACATGTCCAATACACTATGCTGTATATGGATATTTTTAGGAGGATTTGAGGATTTTTAACATAAACCTTAAAGTCTTGGCTGCAGTTTGGCCAAATGCCCAAAGTAATGCATTTTTGGGCATGGGGTAGAATTAAAGTTTCCTAATTCTGCATGAAGTATAAGGAACAACAAATTGATTCTCAGTGACCACTAAAAGAGTTGCAGCAGTTTGCCATTGTGTGGAGCTCAACAGAGAATTCAGAAACCTACCTGAGAAAAGGGTAGCTCTCCTTAATCTGTTGTTCCTCAAAGAGGAGAAAAAAATATAACCAGGGAAGGAAAAAAGACTTGGTTAAGGTCGTGTGGAGAACAGTAGAACAGACAGAAGAGAAAGATGGAGAAAAAACACAATTATAGTTTTGAATTAAGCTATTAAATTAATTACCTGTCAGTGTGAGCAATGATGAGAACCACAAGAATGTTACCCAGTTGCAGTTACAAGGAGCTTTGGTCACTGAGTTCCTTCCCTCTTTTAAGAGGCAGCCTGACTTGATTTCTGCAGCCAACCTGTGTTCTGTCCTGGCTCTTGTCTTTCCCTGGGCTGCTTGACTCAGGGTGGGCAGGGCCAGAAGTTCCCCTGGCTCAGCTGTGACCTGAGGCTGCTGTCTGGGTGTGTGGTGTCTCCAGTTTGTACTTGGTTGGAGTAGTAGAATGCAGTAGGTGTTGTTCCTCCCCTTGAATGTCTTCATTTAGTCTGGTCACTCCATCAGGGCTCCAGAGTGGACATCATATTCTGTGTAAAAGCTGATTAGAACTTATATGTGCAGCTAGAGCTGGTGCCTGCCAGAGCTAAGCTTATGGGAGGAAAAAAATCACCAAAACTAAGAAAAGAATTCCCTTCATCTCATGCTTACTTTACCCTGTCAGGACAATCTGTAATGCAAAGAATTTATAATCTGCTTTTCTTTCCTGCTCCTTCAAAAGGGATCCACAGGCTAAGTAGGGGATACCAGTTTCCTACTCAAATAAAGGAAATTTTTAATTTAAAAGGTTACCATTGCCTCCTGCAATATGTTTTCTAGAAAAAGAACAGTAATATTTGTAGAATGCTGAGATTTTCTTGCTCATCTCAGTTGTTACACTTGCATACAAAATGTTCATGGGGCTGAGATGAATGAGACCCATCACAGTGACTTTTTCATTAGCAGGGAATGCCACTGGCTTTCAGGGAATTGCCTCTCCATTGCTGGTGGGGTCGAGTGTCCAAATAGGTCTTAGGGATGATCCATGGCTCTCATTTTCCCAGCTGGGTCATTTTCTTTCGCAGAGAGAGTGTGCAGCCTTCTAAATGGCACAGGTCTGCTGCCAGTCACATCATGGCCCAAGAACTCTTCCTTTCCAGGGTTACCTGTGGCTCAGGAGCCATCTGTGTTTGTTGCTGGATTATAAGAGCTTTGTAACAGTGCTATTTTTTTTTTTTTTACTCAGTCACTGCTTTTACCACTGAAAACAAACAAAGAACAGACATCTCGACTTGAGTAGATCATGCTACAGCAAACTGTTCAAAGATTATTTCTAGGGGAAAAAAGTGTTGTGCTGATTGTGGTAATTTAAAAGGCTTATGGACTTCAATGTTACAAATAAGGATCTGTGCCTTTGAGGAGATTTATTTGTTCTTGTAATTACTCTGATTTAATGAGGTTGACTAAGATACTTGAAGTTTTTTCACTGTATTACACCAAAGCACTTGTAATAAGCATCTGAAATGTAGTTTAGAAGGCTGAACAGACCAGCCTTCTCAAATCCTGGCTTCAAAATCCTGACTTGAAAGAATGTGCTTCAGCCAGAGCCAACAAAGATGAGCTTAGCACTCAGATGGCAGAAAAAAAACCTTCAACAAAACAAATCTGTAATCACCCTTTTAACATGAAAAGCAAAACTCATTCTAAGCTTCTGTAACTTCTTCTTTGAGAATTAAGTAGATGATAGTCTTCTGGGTGGTGTAAAATCTGACCTTCAGTTTTTCATGTTAGTTTTTTTTTCCCTGGTATGAAAACCACTTTGAGTCACTCAGGTTTGTTTATTGAGGATACCTTGGTACCTGATGCATTAGTTGTACTTGAATATGATTTGGTTTTTATAGAATATTGCCCCAGACCTCAGCAGGGCTCCTGGCAGATCTCAAATGCCCTTCTGCAGAGCATTTCTAGCTGTTCCTAGCAGTCCAAGAGCAATTCCACTTTCACTGTTTTCCTAATTGAACAATTGGATGTTGATTAAAAAAAGAATAGCATGGATAAAATATATTGGAAAAAAAATCAGTCTTGCATGGCATCTTAAAAATTGCATTGCATTATGCTTAGGTTGATGGGGCAAGGTGGGATTCAATTTTATTTTTATTCAGGTGTTGACTGTGGTTCATGGAAGGGTCACCAGTCTAAATATCACATGGCCTGTCAGCAGTGACTTCAGCTGTTGTGTAGGTTTGTCTTAGTTTATTCAAGCTTGAAATATCGAAATCCTCTGAGAGACTGAAGTGAAGAATGTCATCACATGACTGAGTTTCTTTTCAAATTGAAATGCAGGAAAGCATTTAAGATAAATGGGTCTCAAGTTCTGACAAAGGAAGTGGTTTTAAACCATAATGCACAGCTCTGAAGAAGGCAGCAGTGTATCATTAGGTTTTGAGCACTTATTTAAGTCCTTCAAAAAAAGAGTGTTTTAAAAGTGAAAATTAAATCTGAGTCATGTCCTCTGTAGGAAAGTATATATATTCCTCCTTTTGAAAGAGAGTACTATGAATTTAGGACTCAAACTAGTCTCTAGTAATTGTAGTGGGTTAGAGTCAGTTTGGTTAGGTTTGAGCTTTGTTTGTTTTTTGTTTGGTTTTTATTTTGTTTTGCTTTTGTCTTGTTTGTTTGGTTTTTTTCTAGCATAGATAGGACTGGAATGTAAAGAACATGTGTATGTTCAGTTAGTACAAATAACCAGTGGTTGGTTTGCACTGCCTCACTTTAGAAATACATTGAATTGGGCAGCTGATATCTTGGAGAAGACAAATGCTCCTATAGTATTTATTCTGAAAGATGTAATCAGCTTCGATGACCAAATTTGAACAAATGCCCAAGAAACATGAGAGATTTAGTGAACTGTTATAAAACAGAACTAAACCCTGTATTTTGAGAGCGTTGTCTGATACCAAAGCACTGATATGTAGTGTAAACCGTAAAACAAACAAAAAGATGTGAACAGCTGTAAGCCTCTGAAGCATTAACATTCTTACCTGAGCTTCTTTATTAAAAAGAATTTTGTGGTTCTCAGCATATAAATAGAATTAAATTACCATGAAAATGCTTTTTTGCTACCTTGCCTTGGTGTTAAGCAGGGCACAGATAAATGAATGGCAATGTGTGGCTGAATAACATGTGTTGTGAGGTGAAAGCAAGGGCTGCCTCACCAATGCTGACTTTGGGGTGTGTGGTATCAACTCATGGGTGAGTGGGGAAGAGAATGAAATGTCCTGTAGAGCTACAGTGGGAATTGAACTTTGTGCTTAGGATAATCTACCAACTCTTTGCAGTGGTTTTTTCCTTACCACTAAAGCTTTGCAGAGACAGAATCAATTCTGTGAAGCCAGCCTAGGTGAGGTGGTGACCCTGGTGAACCAGTGAGCTTGGTGCAGCTGCCACCAGTTCTACTTAGGAACAGAAATCCTCCAGGACCTTTCTGTAACTTCACTTGAAACCTGGTTTATGCAGACTGAGATACTGTTGAATGTCTTGCTTCGGCAGCTCTGAACAGACTTTACAGTGTGCAGTGTGTTCTGCGTAAAGGTGAAATCAAAATTCCTACTGGAGATGGTGTGTTTTTTTCATTTTCAGGTTCGCTGGATGATGTATTGGATTGTGTTTGCTCTGTACACAGTCACTGAAACAATAACAGACCTAACAGTCTCTTGGTAAGAACCTGCTGTTTATGAACTCTAGAAGGAACTGTATTTGTTTCGGATGTTCTTGGATTTGTAATGATTCATTTTGTGTACAGAAGTTGTGCTTTTTGATAACCCTTTTTTCAGGCAAAGGTCTCAGTGCATGTGGTCAGCAGCATCTGTTTGAAGTTTGCTGCTCTGTCACTTACAGTGGGGACTGTAATACTTCCACCTTGGCTGTAGAAACTGAATAGGGGAATGGAACTCTTAAAAGGATGGGCTGGAATTTCTCTGTGCAGGAATGTGTAATGCAAAGCAAGGATATTAACTGTTTTCATTTCTTAAATTACAATAGTCAATTAAAAAAATTAAATCCATAAATCTAACTCATTTAATTTTTGTCTAATGTAACTTCTTGTATGTGAAGAATCCTACATTCTAATATGTAATTGTGATTTTGGGAAAGATGTCTTTGTGATGATTAATTACTGTGCATTTTCTTACTGCAGTTGTTGATTTTGTGCAACCTTTAACTTGTCTGTAGGTTTCCACTGTACTATGAACTGAAGATAGCTTTTGTTATCTGGCTCCTTTCCCCATATACCAGAGGGGCAAGTTTAATCTACAGAAAATTTCTCCACCCGCTGCTTTCTTCTAAAGAAAGGGTAAGAAATAACTTGTCAGATTTTTAGTGCCTAATATGGACATGCCATATGCTGAAATGCTGTTGCTGGACACGCAGTGAAAGCAGAGCAGCGTTACTTGTTTGCCAGGCAGTGCAGGCAGCACGACTTGGACCGGCAGAGCTGAGTGCACATGACTGTCTGTGCCTGAGCAGACAATGTCCTGCTTTCTGGTGACATCAGAGAGCCTGGTGTTCCCTGCTCCACTTGGTGCCCTTTGAGGAGCCCAGCTGAGTGGAAGTGATGCAGTTTGACTCTCTCCTGCAGGAACATGTGCAGTGTCCTCAGTGCAGAAGCACAAACGCAGCTTTACTAAAAGCTGTTCATGTTGCCATTTGTTCTGGCATAACCCAGTAATAACACTTACCAGGTGACTGACATCAAGGGCATTCCGGTGGGCAAACTGACAGGATAAGAGGAGAGACTTTTTACTGAGGTTTAAAGGAAGACTTGTCTGCAACAGTAAATGCCCAAATAGAAAATAGCTGGAGGATGTTTAGCTTTAGAGTCTGACAGGGCCACGGCTCTGCTTAGCTCTTCTTCAGCATCCTGGTTGGATGTGTGGAAAGAGCAATTAGCAGAGGTGTGAAGACTGCCCCTGGGAAACCTCAGAGTCCAGGAACAGCATTCCTGAAGGTCAGTGCTAGGCTTGGCCTTTATTAGGCAAAGCAGGTTGCTAACATGATGGCCACTGATACCACCGGACAGTAAGGCCATCTTGACCTTCTGAAGTTGGAGCTATAAACTGTTTGCAACTTGGGAAACTAAAGGGATGTTTCCCTGTGAGCTGTTGGGAAGTACCTTGCAGCCTTGATCTCCAACTCCAGGCACTTAATCACAGCTGGGGATAAATGCCATGGCTATTGTCCTTGGTACTTAACTATGCCAAAGCTCTGGCTTTGGAAGTTCTTTGTGAGCTGGCTCTACCTCTCTAAGGAGCTCTGATTTCATGCTATTTCTTGAAAAACTTTTGTCCAACAAGTTAAGCTTATTCTCTGTAAGGAACTTGCTATGTAGTTGCAACACTTCTGAACTAGACAAAAGTGATCTGTTTTTTCTTCTTGTTTGACCAGGTATAATCCTTTTTAAATGAGAGAGTTGTAGTGAATGAAGCTCCAGTATACAAAGACAAGAGTAACTATCCCATAAAGTATTTTCTTAAACACTTCTTTTGTCTTCCTTTACTGATGGAAAAATAATACTGTGGGGTAACATTTCTCTCTTATGAACAGCCTTCTGAAATGTAAATGTGTTTTGCTTTTAGGAGATTGATGAGTACATCGTGCAAGCCAAAGAAAGAGGCTATGAGACCATGGTGAATTTTGGAAGGCAAGGGTTGAATTTGGCAGCAACTGCTGCAGTGACAGCAGCTGTAAAGGTAACTTTCTACTTGCATTATTTGCTATTTACCTTAATATAGAACAGTGTAATTGTACTGAGGATTTGCCATTCCTAAACAAAAAGATAAATTCTGCAGGTGTATTGAAAACCTGGAACACACTTAAAGGCTGGTAGCACTGTACTCCTCATACTTTTTTTGTTTAAGGTGGCTTGTAGTTATTTCTTGGATGATGGAGATCAACTGACTCTAGTTCAAAAGGTACCATGCAGTTTTCTGAGCAGGCTTTTTGGTAAAGATGACCATTGTTTCTTTTCTGTCTCTGTGCTTTCTCGTTGGTAAACAAACTGTTTAAAGGATTTCTGGCTTTTCTGCTGTTTTTCTCCGATCAACTTGAGGTAACTCCACATATGAATTAAGGCATGAAAGACTACTACCATGGATAAAAGTTCTCTTGACACAATTAACTTGTTTGCAACTTGTTGAGTGAATTATTAAATTAATACACTAAGCATAAGCTTGCCTATTGCTGTTTAGCATACACTTGCTTTGTCATGTAATTTCCAATAAATCATGAAGTAACCTGTCCTTGTTCCCAGATTACTACCTTGCTACAAAATTTACCACCTTCAGTTGTATTTCAGAGGGTTCTGGGTGTAGGAAAACAAAATACAAACTTAAACCTAAGACTCCAAGCAGTTTGTGTCCCACTGAAAGGAGTATAACTTCAGACAATGTATATTCTACCTAATAGTAATTTAAACTAAAACACTAAAAAAAAAGGTATGGAGAGAAAGAGGTGTGTGTCCAAGTTAAATGATAGTTTTAAGGCAATCAGGATTAATTTTTTCCTGGGAATAAATGAAATTGCTGTGTTCACAGTAACAGCCCTGACAACCTGAACTCTGTTAGCAGATAACAGAAAGCAGGGTAGAGATCCGTGGCTGTCAAAGTTGAGTAGGTACAGATAGCATTTAAATTAAATTTTTGGGCTTCTACATTTTCGAATGCTATCTCAAAAAGGTTTGGAAAAAGAGCCCTGCATATCTTGTTTATTTGTTTTCTCTCCTTTTAAAGATACATGTGGGTGGTAGCATAATCACTTTTTGTTTTCAGATATGGTCATAATGAGCTTAAAATACTGAGAATGTGATTAAATTTGATCACTGTGAGGTGTTTTTTGTTATTCAAAGTCTTAGTATTGCCTTGAGACATGAAATAATTTAGAATAAAATAGAGTGCACCTCCAAAGGAATTAAAGGATCCAGAGTGAAAATAGGCTTTTTAAACAAACCCTCAAAGTGCTCTACTGGGAAAAAGTTTAAGAACTGTGCTAAATGCTAAAACGCAAATTCTTTGCCAAGCAGCAAATCCTAATTTATTACAATGTGCACCTGTAAGGATACTTACGCTCTGTGTGTGTTCCTCATGTTTGGCTATAGTTGGATATTTCCTTGTTAATCCTTATGGTGTTACAGAAATACTGTAAAATAAACACAAATATCTCCTCCCACTTTCTTCTGAAATGATGAATAACTTTTTCCAAAGTATCTGTGTTTGGATTTCATTGCTATTCAGCTGTGACTGGCAAGATGCCTGCTCTGTTTGTTAAAACTTGTTAAACATGCTCATGAATATTTGTACAGAATTAGTTCAGTGCAGATGAGATGATTGGGCAAAACAACCACCACAATACCAAAGACCTAAAATAGGCATGATTTTTAAACAGTATGAAAGAGAAGACTCTCTGAAAAACCTTTATTTTGGCACGTTAAGCCTCTTGAGTTTGTCATTCCAGAGGGCTGAGCGTGACTGCTGCAGGAAAGCGAATGGACACAATGCATGTGTTCTTGATTTTTGTGCCCTGTTTTTCCGAGAGTTGACTGCTGCCTCCAGCAGGTGAAAAGATTATCCCTTCAACAGGAGCTGGTGGAGCATGCTATAGGATTTCAGGAATGGAGTGGTGTTAGTGAGACTGGTTTTGATGGGAAGGACACACTTTCATCACTATTTTTTTTTTACTTTTTTTAAAGCATGCATACTTATTCTGATGTAGCAGGTCCCAATTTAGGAGAGGGGGAGATTTAAACATATGTGTGAGGTTAAACCTATGTCAAAAGAAACACTGAAGTATCCAAGCAAACTGCTTATGCTGACTTTGGGAGGGTGGTAAAATTGCTTGGGAAGTTGCTGAAATATTTTTAAGATCAAATGTGGGAAAGAGTGACTTTCTCCAAGGGCTGTCAAAGGAATAGGGGATTACCATTAAAAGGCTGGTTGGGTCTGTTAGGGGGGCTGGAGCAGCCAACCAGGTCAATCTGCTGAAATCTGGCACAGATTTAAACCTGCTCCACTGTAGTTAAATCAAAATGTAATTGGCAGGAGCAGTGGCTTATAGCTTACATTCCCATACTGATATTTTTAGCTGGCACTAGTTAGCCACTGTTCACAGAAAATTTAGTGCTTCAAAACCTGCTAAATGACATACATTAGCAAAATAAATTGTGTTAAATTAGCATGTCAGAAAACAAATCTTTGTAAAATCTGATATCAAGAGACTCAGAGATGAAAGAAATAGTCTATGCTGAGTTTTTATGTACCAAAGGAAGTTTTTATTAGTGAAAGAAATGGAAACAAGATGCCTTTAATGATATAAAAGTGTTGCAGCACTTTCAACTCAACAGTATATGGATTTGGGGTAGTTATTTCCACAACACTAAGTTCCACTGATACATCTTATATTTGGTGCTGGTTATCTGTATGGTTTCAATTTTTGCCAACCCGTAAATCCTGACTTCTTGAGCTACCAGTGAGAACTGGTTTCTTTGTCAGTCCAAGGAGCCGTGTGGTGCTAATGAAGCTGTGACCTGCTCTGTCCCTCTTCCTGAGCTCACACAAAGTGTTCATCTGTGAGGTGTTGGTAGTGATGATAATATGTTTTGAGGGCTGCGTTTCTGAACGTCTTTTAGCCACCCTGAATCTACTGTCTCTTTCCTGGCTTTGCTGGGAGTTCCCGGTGTTCCCACTCCAGGCACAGCAGAGGCAGGATGTGTCTCCCAGCCAGCTGTGGCACACAGCCAGCAGCACTGTGAGCAGCAGCGCTGCTTTCACTCTCCTCCCTGCTGGGATGCCTGGCCTGCTGCAGAGGTCACTTGCGGGACAGCAGCCCCTCTCCAGCCTGAGAGGGAACAGCAGTCATTCCCTGTCAGCTCCCATCGGATCAGGGAGGGAACAGCTGGGAATGTGGGTACTGCAACCACGGAACTCCCAAGCAGCTCTGTGGACACAGAGTCCATTGAGAACTTGTCTAGGGAAGGCAAGCAGCTTTAGTCTGTGATCCTGGCCACTGAGGGCTGCAAGTCCAATTTAAACAACAAAAAGAGTCCTGAGGCAGACACAGTGTGGTGTTTGTTTACAGCAACTTCCTTGGGTTAAGCATATAGACCATAAAATGACATGCTCAATAACGGAACAGAGAATGGCACCACATATATGAGGGGCAGGGGATGAGACTGAATGCTAATAGCTTGCTAGAGGCTGAGTAGTCTCGAAAGGAGGCCCTTAAGTAGGATACATTTATTAAAAAAATTGTATTGGAAGTGTATTGCAGCTTTAATTAATGTTTCACATTGGTCACTGGTAATGAATGTGGACTCTCAAAAGTGTTTAATATATTTCACAAAATGCTATTGAATAATAAAGCAAAATGATTCTTTAAGACTTGAATTTTGTTTAAGGCAACAGACTTCAGTCTCCATCTAAAACATTTGCTGACATAGAAATTTGAGCACTGAAGTTGTTCTGTGATTGTAAATGTGTGTGTCTCAATCCTTTGTGCTCTAATTTAGTTGGCAGCCTCTGGGCTGGATGCAGCCTGATGTATGTATTCCTTACTGGGAGCAACTGCTGACAGACTGGGCCACCAGCACAGGCCAGGCGACTGCTCTGCCACCTTCTCCTGAGCAGCACCTTGGGGTGTGGGTGTCTGGGGAGAGGTGATGGCTGCTGCCATGTCCATGGCGTGGCACTGGAAGCAGGAGATCCCCCTTCAGCTCTGCCTGCTGTTTTTTGGGCAAACATGTTGCTTTCCAGCAGTCCCTAATAACTATGAACTTTCAGTCCAGGTATTGAAGCTCTTAAAGCATTATTATTCTAAATGTGAATGTTGCTCTCACATTTTTTGCAACAGCAGGTATTTAATCTCACATTTCCTGCTGTAGGAAGGAATTTAATATTTTTCAGCTAGACTTTCATCCTGAGCTGATAGTAATCCAGATCCTCACAGAGTGCTTTGTTTCAGCAGAAAGCAATTTGTCTGCTGCTTTTGGGCATGGAGGTGGAAGGATCTTCTTAAGTCCTAAATGCAGTGTGAGCACAGTGATGTGCACACCCACACAAAACACCTTGAAATTTGTCCTTCAGATAGTCTAGGCAGTGTAGTGAAGTAGAAACCAGTCTTCCTTTGGCTAGACTGGATCTTCCTAGGGCTGGGATGGAGACTGGGGGCACTGTAGGGAGCACCTGCATAGGATTAACACAATGTGATGGTGACTGTCCTGCAGAGCAGTGCTTGTGCAGCCCTGTTCCCACTGTGACTCTGGGGCACGTGTGCTGCATCTCTTGTTTGGGTATATATCCTTTCAAACTTCTTAGTGTTTACTGTGTGTAACTTGAGTAAAACTTTCCATCTTGGCAAGTACTTTTGGAATGAAGGGCCCATTGTATGACTCCTTAGGTCCTCCCTGAACTAGGCAGTGCTCCACAGGAGCTCTAGCTCAAGCATGCAGTTTGGTTAAGGGCACAGTGTTATTTTATGGCACACAGTTGACTTTTTTTCCCCTTTGAAAAACAAAATTTTCTGTCCAAAAGCTGCACTGGAAAATAAGGCTGAACGTTTCCAGCTTGGATCTACTCCTCTGTCTACAGTGGAATAAGAAATACAGGCTTGTAATGTGAATTCTCCTTAGCATGGTAGTTGCTATAGGCTTAATTTCGTTATCCTATTCAATTTCCAAATGTCTTTTTGTAGTATATCATATGATGAATGAACTTGCTGGGCAATTGTTATGCAAGTGTGTCTTTCCACACTTCTGCTTCTGGCCAAAACCAGCTTCTGTCACTGTTTTATAGCAGACTCCGTTCACACTTGGCGAGTGGAGTTGTGCTGAATTTGTGTGGATTCTGCTGAGAACCAGCTGGGCCTATTTTACGTGTTCATTGGTGCTCAGGGACTGAAACTCATGTCCTGTTGCTTCTCTTCAAGCAGTGGACACAGAATGATCAACAGTCCTGTGTTGTAGCAGATACTGTGAGCTGTTCTCCCTCCAGTTCTCTCCACAAGAAGTGGAGTAGTGAAAGGGCAGGATTTCTCCTGCCTTAGGAGGAATCTTAGGAGACCTGTCTTAAATAAACCATTTTGGGGGATAAAATCGACTTTAGAATTTCTACAGTCTTTTATACAGAGACTGTACAGTGTCCATAGTACATTTTAACTCAAAGGCAAGCTGTACCCATGTTTTTGAGAACTGTGAGTCATCCTACAAGTATGTAGGAAGAGCTGGAAAAGTTAAGACTTCTACTTCTCCCACAAGAAACCTTTTCTTTGTTATTGTTCAGTGTCCATGTATGAATAGTGGTGTAAAAATTATAATAGGTTCTTGCTTGAGTAGCACACTGTCCTAGTTTTATATGCTGTACTAATGACTAGTCACTAGAAAATTAATATTAGGTTTCAACCACTTTCACCCCCACCCTTTGGTAGCTGTGCAAGCTTAAGGAGTTTAACTCCACTGTCTCTTCACTTTACATGGCTATTTTTAATGTGCAATAATTCAGTGTGCTGGTTTACCATCTGCAAACAGTTGTTGTCATCAGAGTGGGAACAAATGGCTGTGGCCAGTGGTGCAAGAACTGCCTTGTGCTGTTGCAGAGAAAGGTGTGTAGAATTGTATCCGGATTGCTGCTGCTGCTAGCTAACATAAAGCTTTTACTTAAAAGCTTCATTTGCAAGAATGAAACAAAATCTTGAGCTCTTGCTTGAAGTGGAATTAGTGCACAGGTTTGTCAACCTTCCCCTGAAATGGTGATTTTTTTTTGCCTCATGCTACAGAGGGGAAGAATTAAGTGTTATTTTAATGTGACTTTGAGTCCTTGTTCTTGTGTGCTTGCTCTTTTAGTTGCTTATGCAATAAATTAATCTTAAATGCTTTAATAATAACATCTGATGTAAGACAAAAGAGCTGCTTGATGATCCTTCTTTCCAACAGGGAACTTTCTGTATGTCCCATATAGTAGAGATGTAAGGGCAGTTGGAGAAGGAATTCTAATGTTCACGTGATCAACTATTCTCCTGTGTAGCATTCAATTTTGGGTTGGTACTATGTCAGTAAAGCTGGACTAGTAGGAGGACCTGCTAGCCTGGAGTCCAGGCAGGACCTCTGGTGTTTGTGATTTGAAGTTTCTGTCAACTACAGCTGCCTCTTTCTCAGTTCTTTGAGTTATGATACAGAACATATTTTTAACACTTTTTTTCTTTCTTATGCGTATTCAAATTTTTGGATGGTAAAAATATAAAATAGCAGAAAATGCTCTTCGTCCATGCTTTTTAAAATGGAAATGTTTAAACTCTGTCCTGCTACCCAGAACTGCTAGAGAAATGCCATTTTTGAAGTGAATGGAACATCTCTGTGTGTTTCTTTTCAAACACTTCCTCTCACCCAAGGAACCCTTATTTGCTCAGGTTAAAGGAGTGGAATGAGGCATTTGTGATGGAACTGCCAGTTCATGTGTAACTTTGCCAAATAAGAGTAACCTATAGTTAAGCCTGGGTAAAAGCAACATCTTAAAGCAAGTGTAAATCTACTGCATGTGTATGTTCTGTGTTTTGTAGTGCAGCAAGGAAGCATGGGCTTAAATATCTTAACCCGAGCTGAGCAGCAAAGTTAAACCTCTGCTGTGTTTTCAGGGATTCTGTTGTTGTATTTCAGAGCCAAGGTGCAATAACTGAGAAGCTGAGGAGTTTCAGTATGCACGACCTGACCACTATACAAGGAGATGAACCCATGGGGCAGCCCTATCAGACCTTACCAGAAGCAAAAAAGAAAACCAGAGCCTCTACAAGTGAATCTTCAGGTATGTATCTGGTTTTTTTCTAGCTAAAAGAACAATTGACCCGAGACACGAGTGGAAAAGCAGAAATAAATTTACCCCATCTCTAAATGGAAAAGACCTCAAAGAATTCCACTGAAACAGAGTAGATGTGATCAAAATACAACAGTTGAGAAACCCTTCCTGAATTTTTTTTCCCCAGCCACTCTCAGTGTAGTTATTCTGTACTCATTACTCCTGTCTTTACCAGTTGGCAACAAGAATTCCTTGCCAAAGTAAAACTTAATTGGAAGTAAAAAAATACGTGAGTGGTGTTTCTGTGACAGGCGTACAAGAAGTTAAACATGAAAATATATGGAAACTCAATAAATAAAAAGGGAAAACTAATGGCAATTCCCTGGGTGTGTAATGATAGATCAGAATGTTAAGTTGCTGATGATGATAGGAGTAATGAAGGCATTGAGTTGTCATATCAACACTCAGAAGACACTGTGTGGGGACCAATATATGGCTTTGTTCAGAGATATTATTGTACTATTATATTACATGTATTGTTATTGTCATCATCACTTTGCTCTCGAGCCTGTGATGCTTGAAGGAAGGTTTAGGTGGAAGACTGACAACTGCACCTTTTGAAATGACGGGGCTACAATGTAAAGGAGTTGATATTTCCCACAGAAGAAGTAGGTCTGGTCTTTTTCTTTTCACTTGAACCTGTTATTTGTTCTCATCCTTCCCTTTCTGAGAGGGGTGGTGCTTGTGGAGTACAAGGAATTCCAGGAATCACATGATAGCTGTGTTGTTTCTGAGGGATAGATGTCCAGCTGAATGGCTCTAAGCTGAACTGCACATCCCACCTATGCAGGGCAGTGTATGGACCAGGTCTCCTGGCTGGAGAGAAAGCTCTTGATGAATTCCTGGCTGCATTAGGAATGATGTCCCTGCAGCTCTTTTGTAGGGGCTGTTTCTCAGTCAGGGAACATTAGTTGTCCATCTGAAATAGCTTGGAAATGCTCTACAAACTTAAAGAAAAAAAAATGCTTAAGTTATACTGTATAAATAGTCACTTATTGTGAGATTCAATTTCAAATATCAGAAAGCTTTCTATGAGCTGGTTGAACTTAATTGCTTCTGCTCCTGGACCCAAATCTAGGATACACCTCTCATGTTATCTTTGAATTTTCTTCAGCATTAGAATTTTAAAAGAAGATCATACCACAGATGCATTTAGGGAAGCTGCATAGCAATATTTTGTTGTGCTTAGCAGGATGTTGATTTTTTACCATTGTGCTGGGAGTTTTGTGCAAATTGGTTGGAAAGGCCTAGTTGTAGGACATTATTCTTAGGAGGGCTGAGCTGTCAGTGTGCTTGCTGTGAAAAGGGCAGAGGTGATGGAGATTCGTCAGAAAAGGTGCTACAAATAGAGACAAAGAAGTATTGGTGTCACTGCAAACATCCCTGGTCAGAAATGGAGTGACAGATACAATTCAAATCTTCCATATTATTGAACAAGATGAGTTGAAACTATTGGAAGCAGAGATGTGTTCCCTCTGGAATGGCAGAAGAGGTAAATCTGCCTGAAGTAGCTGTGGAGTAGGTGAATGTGATCGCAATTTCAGGAAAAAAGAAGAATTGAGGAAAATAATCTTGTTAAACAGAAACAAAATATTGGCTTAAGATGAAATGTATACTGGTCATTAGTAAAGTTTGGTTTGGAGTCTAAAAGGTGTTCCTGAGTGTTACAGCCCGTAGGTTCTGGAACGGCCTTACAGAAGGAGAGTTTGGTGGGGGGAAAGAACCAGTCTGGATTTGGAGGCTTTGTGACAGGGCTGTGATGGGGATTCAGGGCTGTTGGACCCCAAGGAGCTTTTCCAGACGTGTTTTTAAGCAGTTTGTGCCCTCTAGTGAGCGTTTTGGGTAGTAACCTTGGTCCTGTTTTTGCAGGATGTAAACAACGCTTACCAGTACTTTGGCGCGTTACTCAGCTGAAAGGAGGTTTGGTTTTAAATATCCAGAGAGGGATGTGAGCACGAAGAAAGATCCTATTAATCAGAGTTATGGAATGGTTTGGACTGAAAAGGACCTTTAAAGATTTATCTAGTCTAACTTCCCTCTCACATGGATTGTGTCCAAAAACCTGAGGTACTCTTTAGGATGACCACTGGGGTTTTTGCAGTTCAGTTTAAAGCAGAAGATGGAGGCAGACTTAGGGTTTTGGTTTTGACAGGTGAGGAACCACAGCATTACACACCTATGGAATCAACTGGCCCATTCCTTACAAATGGCAGAATTAGAAGTAAGAAACTCCTGGCATGTTCCCTGTTTTGAAATACCTGGTACACTGACCATATAGTTTAAAAGAGTAAATGCTGTGTGCTAAAGATGAAACTCATGGCTTTCTTAGAAATCTAAAAGTTACATCTACTACTTATTAAACACTTTCAGAAAAAAATTTTTTAAAAGGTTACAAAACACCACTGGAAAAAAATGCTGGAGATGATAAAACAGATGAGGAGATGGAGGGGACACATTCAGAGGATGAAATGTTTGCTCAGAGAGGCCTTCGAAGAACTCAGAGCATGAAATCTGTGAAAACTAAAGGCCGTAAAGAGGCAAGTATGATCCTGGTGAACTGCTGAGTTTGGTTGTCCAGTGTACCTTGTTGTTCTTAACAGTGCAGAAATTTATTTTTATTTTTAATCTTGAAGGAGTTATCAATGATAACTGGGTTGTAGAATGCTAAATGGAGGAGGAAGTATGCGATAATATCTAAGCTTGGAGCTTTTGTGCTTTGGAGTGTTCAGGGGCAATACATGAATGAAATGAACTTGAGAGAGGAACAAGGGAGAGGAGATGAAGCACACTCTGTGCTTGTAATGCTGATTCTGGCACCACTGAGCCCGAATTCCAGGAACTGCTCACCTCGAAAGGGCTACAGAGAGTGGTATTGTCACCTGCATGTCACGCACACTTCAGCATCTGCTGCTCAGTGGATTAAAGAAGATTCAGAATTTGTTAGTTCCCATAGATATATGGCCTGCTTTGACTCTTTGTGCTCCACAAAGAGAAGTGCTTTATATTTCTATGTGCCACAAAATCTAAAGATACTTCAGGATAAAGCTCTGTGGAGTCTCATAAAAGTTTATGGGTAATTTCAGGAAAACATATGAGACTTACTCTTCTGGTCCAATTCTGTTGAAACTGCATCTTATTCATTCATAGGTAGCTTCTCTGAATGAAACTGTGGAGTGTCCAAAGCACATTTAAAGACATTTGCTAAATTGGATTAGTGGAGAGGTAAATAATATGATGTGACTCAACTCCTTGTTAAGTTGTGATTTCATTTCTCCCCTCAGATACGATATGGATCCCTGAAATACAGAGTAAAGAAGAGACCTGTTGTCTACTTCTGAGTGCATTGCACGATGCCTGCAAGACAAACTGCTGTACTCTGATAACTTGAATTTCAGTGTGTCAAGTGTTACAGACCTGTGTATGGTTCACATATGAGTGTGTTTGGATAGATACAGTAGGACTTGGTTTTGTGAGCCCAGGTGATGGGATAAAGTATTACTCTGCTCTTCTGTGATTGCTTATTGTTTAGATTTAAATCTGGACAAGTTATGGTATGAATTTCAGCACTCCTCAAAGTGGGGTTAAATGAGTACAGGAAAAAGCCTTTTGCCAGAGGTACTGAACAGACAGAAATAATTACAACTCCAGTTGAATCGGTGGAAGTTGTGAGTATTTGGAGCGTGTGAAAATGGAAGCCATAGTGTCCCCGAGTTTACAAGGAAAGATAGATATACTTGAAATACTTTTCTGAGCTACAATTCCTGAAAAGGCCTTTGTGTAATTTTTAAATGTACAGTTTCGAGGACAGTGGATGATGGTGGGAAAGGAAAAGGAAAGGTGAGGTTAGATAGGATACATCCTAAACATCATCATCTTGCATCATGTTGCCAAGCTTAATAAATTTATATAATTCTAATAGGTGCAAACTGGGGGTACATTTAGCACTTTATGCAAAACTGTGTAGTTTTGCACACTTAATAATTTACAACTGCACATGTAATTTTAGTGACTTGATAGGTTGAATGCCAGCAATTCTTGTATTTTTAAAATTTATTGCTTAAGTACAGTTAGGATGCTATAGATAATTGCTACTAACAATATTATCAGGTGCCTTTCTGTGTATTATAAGACCGTGTGGGTTTTGTCTGTGTGGGGCTTTTTTGGCTTTTTTTTCTTTTTTTTCTTTTTTTTTTTTTTTTTTTTTTTTTTTTTTTTTTTATTTTTTTTTTATTTTGTTTGTGTCCATCTTCCTCCTTTTACCTAGAGAAATGTAATGTGATTTAAGTCGGTTTTTGGTTAAAATTGTGGTAAGTGAAACTTGTAGCAATTCCAGTGCTAGACCTCAGGGATCTGCTCAGCCCATCAGCTGTGTGTTAGAAGTCATGCCAACATGAAGGCATGTGTGATAGATGAGTCAGGCCCTGGTTTGGTTTTGCTCTACATTGCTTTAAGAATGAATATATATATATATATTTTAGAACATGTGTGTATATTTCATATCATATGTGGATCCTAAAATGGTCTGTGTAGTGCTTTCTTTTATTGCTAAAGTTATTACTAAAATATTTGCATATAAGTAGCTTTTTCTAAAAGTCTAGTTGATTTAGTCAGCCATTCTGTAACCTAGAGTCCCATGGCATATCTGCACAGAGATTAATTTTGGAATGTCCTCCAAGGCAGGGAGTTGTGAAAATGACTTCTTTAGGTCCTCTTTGGTTCTATTTTCTGCGATTCTGAGAATGAGGCTGATTTTAGTTTTCCGTGTGACTGCATTTCTACTGTGGATTCAGGGAGAAAACCACCCACTTTTTGCAGATAGTATTTTATTACATATTGTGGGGAGAGATGGTGTTGCTTTCTTTGAAGAGAAAATGGCATGTGACTTGTCCTACCCTTGGATCTCTGACTCCAGTCCTTCTCCCAGGTATTGACAGTCAGCTGCAAGTCCATTGCAGTGCTCTTAAACGTGTTTCCAATTCTTGAGCCACTACAGTTCTTTTCCTTTCTTACAGCTGCAGGAGTTCCCTGCTGGTGGGCACTTACTGCCCTCCTGGTACACACTGGCACTCGGAGTATCCTCCTGCATCCTTCAGGACAGGGCTGGGACTGTGTGGATCCAAGTGCAGCTGGTCTGTGTGGCACTGCAGCGCTCCCTGGCTGTGAGGGGAGTAAACCCAGTGCAAAGCTGGGGCTCAAACACCACGCTGATGGCACAGTGCTTTAACAGATCCAAGCTTTAATGGACCCAAGGAAGTTCAGTGCTGTAGTGAGAAGTCCCAGCTGTCCACACGTGATTAAAAGTCTAAAGCTTGAATTGCTTTACTCAAAGACATATATCAGAAGGTAGGAAGGCTGCTCTCTCCCAAGTAAGAGAGCAGAAATCCTGTCCTCTAGCCAAGACTGCACCTTGTGATCCAGCTTTTACAAGGAGCTGCTGGCTGTGGGGAGGGAATGATCACAAAGGCAGCCTCCTCCCCAGGGTGTGGGAGTCACTTCTGCCCCAGGAATGTTTGTGCTTCTCATCTGTTTCCCTGAGTGCAAGGGAGAGGCTGTGTGTGTGTGTTATGTCAGACCTTAGAGGAAGCTGAAGCTTTTGCATCTGCATCTCACCCCTCTCTGAACATTCTGCTAACCTGGGATGGAATCTCTGGCTTACTGTCCAGCTGAGCATCCTCCTCGAGCACTTGCTGCTGCATTTTGCTGTAACTCATCATGCTTGTTTTTATCAGCAAGCATGGCAATAAAACAATCACTTTTTTCTACAAATCACAATCCTGCATGAAGGAGCAGGGTAAGCCCTTCTTTCAGAAATACAGTTCCTGTTACAGGTTCACATAGGTCCTCTTTTGGGGGTTGCGTTTTTAACATGCTTCCAAAGCTGGAGATCATCTGAGTATTTTGGGCTCTACCACACTCATGTCAGGAAGTTGCTCTTTGTGTCTCTGTGTACCTGAGGCTGTAGCTTGGGGCAGACTTAACTTGCTAACTCAATTGGCTAAATAAACTCTTTCTTGAACCTTGCATGGAACTAGGAAAGCTGGCAGAATTATTCATATTCATTACTGTTTCCATATAAATGTACTTCGGTTCTCTCAGATACTGTCTTAAGTGACCAAACTCCCAGTGTTTTCCTAGCTGTTTTGTTCAGTCCAATAACCAGCTGTAAAATTCTTTTCTTGACAGCCTGATTTTGCTCTTTGAATTCATCCTGAAAGTGGTTCACTGTGTATTATCTTAATTTTTTTCTTCTTGCTGTTCACTGTCAGCTGATGTCAGCAGAGCACAATGGCATGATTAGCTTTCATCCCAATTTGCTTGTTGAATTTAGTTTGGTTTTGAAATACTACACAATCGTTTAAACTTTGTGTACAGAGAATTTTTGAAGTTTTCTTGCCTTAGCAACTACAGAAATCATCTGTCTAGCTCTTGTCAGTAAACTTGTTGGAAAAAAATGTTAAAAATTGATGTTTACCTTAACATTCTGTTTGGTCTTGGACTATAAAATGTAGTTTCATGTCAAATTGGATAACCTTCTTCTCAAAGTATTTCCTGAGAATTGACAGCCACCAACAGGACTGCTAATGTAGTTAAACAAAACTTACACAGAGGTTAAAGGTGCTTTAAAAGAGAATATGTGTTTCTGTTTAAATCATATCAAGGTTTCAAGCCTTTCCAAAATATATGTGAACTGACTCAGAGTTCTGAGCAAGAGCCTACTGGACATGTTCAAATACCCATGTTTGAGATGAGGATTAAATTGATGGCTTCAGCTGCAAATAAGCTTAGGCCAGAGTCTGATTACAATGTAATTGCCAATATTGTGAATTTCTTTGGTATATGAAAGTAACTGATTAATATCCAAGATGCATTTTACAAACTATAATGAATTTTAAGTGAACAGAAGATAATTTGATAAAACAGAATGGTGAAGAAAATGCTGGATGCATTTAAAACTCTCTTCATGACAATAATGTGTTTTATTTTTGGTGTTGCTTTTATTAATGGGAAGTTGGTATTTTTAAGTATTTTTCTACAAAGATGTGTATGTGCAAAGGCAATACTTTAACATTTTTCAAGAACTTGTATTTTTAAATGCTGTAGACCAGAGACTGTCTACATTTGGACTGAAGTTAGTAGCTTTAAAAAATGCAATGTAAGCTTTAATTTTTATATTATAATAATAACTTGCTGACAACTTGTTTACATATTTGTAGGAGGGAAGGCTTTGTTATGCATTGACTTATCTTGATGCTCTCTTTAATAAATGCTGCTTTGAGCAGGATGCAATGGATGTTTTATTACCTGAATTACGATTAACAAACCAGTCAGTATGTGATCTGTGTTCTGTTGTTTATCATAATGGTTTCAGCACCAAAACAACTCATCTGAACTTTGGAGAGGCTTTTAAAACTCTTTGAAGGGTGACTGACCTGCCTTGGGGGTTCTGCCATGGAACCTGAAGCTGATTTACACTGAAATGGAACTTACCCTGGGAGAGGCAACTTGAAAATGGTACAGTGTTACCTGTTTGAGATGTTTGGTTCAGAGTAAACTCAAATTGAGATGTTTCCTGTCCCAAAGGATACACCTTCCTGGGGAACTGCTGGACAGCAAACTGATTTGAGTTTGTATTTCCTAGGCAGAGTTCCTGTGGTGACCCAGAGAAGGAAGGTGTCCTTCTCAAACAGCTCAAATAAGCTGTTAACACTCCTCCCAAAACCCAATCCAAAACCTCAGTGACCATGTTCTCTGGACCTTGTTTGCAAGGCTCCTGACTTACTGCCTCAAAGGAAAGAATTGCTTAATAATGTTAATTGAGGAGAAAGATTTGAGAGACAGTGGCAATAAATATAAGCATTATGAAAATTCATCTGACTGTAAGGGACCTTGCAGTGATTCAGTTCCTGATGTCAGAGCAGTTCATGCAGTACAAACCCCCTGGCAAAAAATTGTGGATGTCAGAAAACAATGTTGACCTTTTCTCCTTCATTTGTTCAACTGATGTTTAGCAGGTAGCAGGAACATTCCTGAATGTGGGCTGAAACTCTGTCCCGCTGTGTAACGTGATGTTGGTGAGACCCACTCAGGGAATCATTACCTGATGATTCTAAAACAGTGCTGGTATGTATGTCTTAGGCTGAAATGTTAAAGGTGAAGCAGATGCAGCAACAATGGGGACAGGTTTTTTTGGGCTCTTTTTTTTGAGTCCTTGGGTGGGCATTGTGTGTTCTCCACACTAACATGAGAAAACAGATGTTGGAATATGAGGGGAAACCAAATAGGTCCTGTAAAATCAGTAGAGTTCCAAAATTACTGTTGTCCTTTCTGTAGCTATATTCAGGAACGGAACAGGAGCCTGTCTTATGTTTGCCCGCCTTTGCCAAGGTTCAGTGACAGATTGCTCTGTCTGAATTAGGGCAGGAATCACAAAAGCAGCTGGAGCAGAGACTACAAGGACCTCAAAACGCAGGATTTCAGTGCTATCTGCCAATGTACAGTGACTACGTGGATGAGGAAGCTTAGAAATTATTTAGAAACTTCCTTTTTTACAGGCTGTCCCAGTTCCAAGGTAAGCAGCACTTTGACCCTCAGCTGTTCCTGGGCAACAAACTCATTCTGTTGCGTGGCACCTGCTGCTTCCTCGGGGAGCTGTGCTGTGACAGCCAGTCTTTCTACTAATTTTAGTTCTCCTGGAATAAGAATACTAAGGGGAGGTCATCCTAACTTACTGCTTCAAAGGATTTCTTGATTGGGCTGAGGAGAAAGACTTAAAACCCCAAAGCAAAATTAAAACCCTGTACAAAGTTAGTGTAATAGTAAAAGCTGCACCTTCAAACGTAATGGTAGGAAAAATGCAAATGTAACTGTGTGTTAGAGTCTTGAAGAAATTGCACCAAACAAGGCTAGTCACTGTGCTTTTGTCAAACACCTTAATTAATGATGGTTAGTGTCTCTATTCTTAATACTAGATTTGCCAACTTGAAAGGAGTTTCTCCTGCTCTCCTGCTGTCTATAGGGTGTGGAGCTTTTTGGTGTCACCCTGCAAACTAGATGAAAGCCACAGGGTGAAGAGAGCATTTATGGTAGTTCACATTGTTAATTGAATTGGCAGGGCAGCCTCCTAGTTCAGTAGGTGCCGAATTACCACATGACCAGAGACAGCAGCCCGGGGAAAAGGCTACTGAGCAAAATTAACCTTTGGTAGCAGCCTGCAATTATCTAGTCTAGATGAAATCCTGATGAAAAACACTGCTTCTCTTAAAATCCAGGCTATGAAAGAGGGAGAGCCGCTCCCGTTTTCAGACAGCTCTGGAACAACTGCCGGGCTGTTCTGCTCTCCTCCGGGGTGTCTCCCGCAGCACCCCGTGATTGCCTGTTTGCTGGAGAGGAGATGTGGCCATATCTCGGAGCATCCTGCCTGGACCCACCTCCTGCCTTGGCAGCCTTTTCTTCCTGCAGCGTGGGGAGGCTTTTCCCCACCGCCTGGCGCGGATGCCCCGCGCTCCGCCCACCCCGTTCTGCGGCTGTGGCGGAGCTCTCGTTCCAA